GTATAAGAAATTTCATTCAAAAAAGATTGTAAATAGATGGGTTAAGCCAATAATATGCGGCTGAAATTTTCTGCATCACAGATTTTCAAGTGTAGCAGATTGGACATAAAAGATCAGTAGTTTATATTAAGAATTTTTCGACAAAACCAAAGAAAAATCTACTATTAGGAAGTGTCAAAGCAATCATAAAAAATTTATAGTGATTTGGATAGAAAAAACGTAGTAACAAGATCAAACAATCTGTGTTATGCGGTTGAAATTTTACAATGCAGATTTTCAAGTATAGCATATTAGACGTAAAAGATCAATGGATTATATTGAAAAGTTTTTAACAAAACCAAAGAAAAATCTGCTGTTAAGAAGTGTCAAAGCTATCATAAAAATTTGGTAGGGGTTTGGATAGAAAAAATGTAGTAGCAAAATCAAACAATCTATGTTATGCAGTTGGAATTTTGCAATATATCTTTCGTCATAGAGATGAAAACTTTACGATGAAAAGTTTATGCAGCAATTTTGGAATTTTTTTTTTTTATTTTCAAATAAGGATAACTAAATTACAGCAGTAGTAAGGTAGGAAACCAGAACTTGTTTGCAATTCACGGGGAGATTGATCTACGATGGTGGAGATGACGGTCGAATTTGACGACGATCTTTTAAGCAATTGTGAAAATTACTTTGGGCGGTTGTGGAGGGTTGATGGATGGCTGTAGAAGGGTAGCGAGATGCCAAGAACGCTGCTCTGATACCAGGTGTTAGAACCCTTACAGATTCTAAACTTGAGGTTGATCTCTTTAGGGGATCAACCTCCTTGGAACTCTATAGGGGTTTCTCCCTCCAAGTTGCTGCTTAAAGGCTGTAGAAAAGATTCATCTATTACTTAGTAAAAGAGGAGGAATAGATGACTATTTATAGGGCTTATAAACCCTAACTGCTAATATGACTCATACTTAACTCCTATTCCTTTACAACTCCTAATTCTTCTCTAAGAAACAACCACCGAACTCTAGTCGGCCTCTTCATCTTTTTAATAGGGGTCGACTTAAGTAGATTTTATATGAATGTCTCCGAACTCTCTTAGCTAGACTCTTAACAATGTACTTTTCTCTTTCTGACTATAAATATTTTGTTTCTTTTCTCTCAATCTTTTTATTTTCCTCAACTGTTAGTGCTCTAGTATCCAAACAAGACGATGAGTTTGGGATATATCTGACATTGTTCTGTGATGCTCCATACTTAACTTCAGCACTAACATTTTGCGTTCTTTTTATTCTTATTCTTCTTCTTCTCAATCTTTTTTACTGTTCTTTCCGGTAAAAGGTCCTTAATATGTTTCTATTAACATCATTTCATACTATGTCAATTTATCATCATGACAGTAATCTGCAGAGGATGCACCTAACATGGGAGAAGCCTCTACATGTCAAATCTGAAAGTGTTATTGGAACCACAGGTTTTGATCTAGACAATCTTAAAAAAAATATGTGGTCCAGAGAGGATTTGCGGGTATCAATAGATTGCTTGTGACACCCTAACAAAATCATAAGAAAGACCACCCAACCAGGCTGTCATGGTCTCTATCAGGTGGCTGCCACAGTCTCCACCTTCTGAAGCATCATTTATGCCAGTCAGTCTTGTGATGAAGTACACATGCTGTGATGAGGTATCATTGGCTTTTGCTAACAGTGTTGAGTCATACAATTATCAAGTGCTTTCCAGCTGCAAGTGCAATTTGCTACCTAATTAATATCAAGTGGGCTCGTATCACCATCCAAACCTTCTCCTTTCCAATGGCATCAAAGTTCATGATGCTGTCTTCTCTCTTCCATATTCCAAGAGGCACACTGATCGGAATAGTTCAAGTGCTATTGTGGATAGCTTTCAGAGACATTGTTCTGCAAAACTGAAGCTGAAGCATCACTATAAAGATTACAACTAAATCCACACACTACAATGTTCAAGATCTGGTCCACAGTGCTCTCTGATTTGAGACAGGGCCTTAACTTCTGTCTCAATTCAATGTTTATAGTTGGCATGATAAGTGCCTCCTGAGCTCTGTCCTCTTTTTCCACAACTGAGTGCAGGGTGGGATGTCCCCACATTGGCATCTCCATTTCAGCTGGAGATATCGAGCACTCTTTTCATGAGACCAGCAAGGAGGACCATGATAAGGTGGAACCCTGCCATCAATATGTATGCCTGTTATTTCATGTCATTTCTTGCTTGGTTAGACTTACGTACGTTGGAAAGAATAAAAGATAAAGAAGAATTATTGAAGAAACTGTTTTATATTGAAGCTATTCTCCCCCTATTTATACATATAAAGAGGGAGGATTTTCTTCAATAGAGTAGAGAGATTTTCTCATACAGTTAGGGAAATCTTATCAGAGTAGAGAGATATACTCATATGGTTTGGAGCTCCTATCAATGATACCAATCTTGGATCGATACAAAGCAAATAGTTTACGAGCGAGAGGCTTAGTAAGTAAGGCAAGAGCAGATCGTTGCTACTACTGCGGCTGCGACGACGGTAGCTACGGTTGCTGTGGCTGCTATGAAAGCTGCAGCAGAGGAGAAAGCTACAATGATGCTATAGTGATGCTACAGCAGAGGAGAAAGCTACAGTAAAGGAGAAAGCTGCAGCGATACTACAGCAAAGGAGGAAGCTACAGTAGAGGAGGTAGCTATAGCAGAGGGGGTAGCTGCAACGATGCTACAGCAGAGGAGGGAGCTACAGCAATACTACAATAGAGGAGAAAGCTACAGTAATGCTACAACAGAGGAGGTATCTGTAGTAGAGGAGGTAGCTGCAGTGATGCTACAACAGAGGAGAAAGTTGTAGCGATGCTATAGTGATGCTACAACAGAGGAGAAAGTTGCAATAGAGGAGGTAGTTGCAGTAGAGGAGGTAGTTGCAGCGATGCTACAGTAGAGGAAAAAGCTACAGCGATGCTACATCAGAGGAAAAAGCTACAGTGATGTTGTAGTGATGCTACAACAGAGAAGGTAGTTGCAGCGATGCTAAAACAGAGGAGAAAGCTACAGTGATGCTACAACAGAGGAGGAAGCTGCAGTAAGAGGAAGCTGCAATAGAGGAGGAAGCTGCAACGATGCTGCAGCAGAGGAGGAAGCTATAGTAGAAAGAATTTGTAATGATTTGGTTGAGAAATCTACATCGATTTGGTTGAGAAATCTACAACGATTAGCTCTTAGTAGGAACTAAGGATCGACAGTTGATAGCGAGACAGTATGAAGGAGAAGAGGGAAGGAGCGAGCAAGGGTTGGAGAGGGATCCACTACCGAGGGCGAGCAACCGACCGTACCAAAACAGGCCCTCGTTATTATAACCGCACCTGATGACGACGCCGGGTGTGGTCACGACAACAGCTGGGGTAGCAGTGAAGGCGTCATGCACCGTACAACGGACGGAGAGGAGAGTCCGACAGGGAAGCGAGTCTGACGGGAAAGAGTTTCCCCCTTCTTTGCTCTGTAAAGGCAAGAGATCTAGTGAATGACAGGCTTCGATGATCGTGAAATCTCGCTCATCTTACTTGCTCTGATACCATATTGGAAAGAATAGAAGACAAAAAAAATTATTGAAGAAACTGTTTTACATCGAAGCTAGACTATTATTGAACAACAGAGACTGACCATGGTGGTGGTGTATCATACTTATCAACAATGAGGATACAAAATCTTATCTGATACTTCTACACATAAAATATTATAAATTTGACTCATTTACTTACGAAAGAGTTTGAAACCATATCTAATAATTTTTTTTACACTTCAAATATTGATCATATAATAGTAAATTCTCAATAAAAATATAAAATTTAAAATTTTATCTAAAATTTTTTAATGTTAACTAGCTTAATTGGTGGGTTTAAAACCTACCATCACTATTTATCTTGTGTATCCAATGCTCCCGTCAATATGAAATCTGGAAAGGATCAATGCACGTAACCTTAACGTCACTATTTACGTTCAAGAGAGAAAAATACTAGAAAATAAATCTTGAAGACATTTACATTTGGTGATAGTTACCACAGTACCTATGACCAAATGGCCATTGTGGTTTTTTTGCTTGTCATAGAGACATTTACAGACTCTCACGTCTGCTGATTTCTTCTGAAGCCCAAATTCCTATTCCTGCAACATTCCAGAGTTAGAGATAGAAGCATAAAACAAAGAAAGAGTAAATAATTTGTTGTCTCAATTGGAACTACCTACATATTCTACTGGCATGTATATGAAAAGGCAGGTGATCTCAAGCTGGGAATAAGCTTAGAATCTCCAATATAAATCTTTACAGGTCTGTTTCCCTGTTATACAAAAAAAAGAAAACGAATAAAGTCACCTGTACTCACAAAAGAGAAGAACATATTCATCATTTGCTCAGTGCATCAGTGGTTGCAAGCCTGATCCTGTGAGATGGCTCACCTCTTACAGGGAATATAATGCATCCTACGTGAGGAAGAAAGGATCGAACAATGCATTCAACTTTGCTCAGTTTTTCTGCCCTCCATCATCTCACCAGGAGCAAAAGCATGTCTTGGAGATTTCTTTTGCAAGGGTGATGACTCCTTGGTAAAGTCGACTTCGAACAATATGTTCTCTGGACTTGGCAGTCCAAGAGCTTTATCCTCTCTCTCTCTCTGTTCTGCCACCCCATCGTTACTTCCTCCTTCCTCCTTCAGTATCCTTTCTTTGTTCAGACATGAAGCGTGATACGAGACGATGAATGTGAGGAGAGATGCAGTAAGTAGATGCCTTCTATATAGGCTTATATAGAACAAACTTATTCTCTACTGTGAATTCCTTACCATTAAAGAAGTTTCAGATCATGATCTGTAACAAAGAGTATAAAATTCCATTCCATGGCTGTAATTGGAAATATTTATGTGTGTATATAAAGGAATGTTTCTGGTAGGAAATCTCTGCCATTGACTTTCTTGTCCACGGAACCGTGGTCAGAATTCAGATTGTCAAACACCAGAAGATGAATACCATTTTAGTGCATGTAGATGTAGTTTATTACTGATAACATGACGGGAAACATGGAGTTGTGAGAAGAAGGAATGAAGGGAAAAAGGACACAGTTACGCCACCTACAACAACACTTGCATGTCTTCTTCAACCACTACACCACCAAGCACACAAAAGGAAAGAGCAGGCGCAGCGTCTCTTCTCAGCATGGCTGGGGAGGAGCGATGTTGCACTTGGCGGGGAGCTGCATGGCCTGCTTGGGGTCGATGCCGAGGTAGGGCAGCAGGTCGGAGTTCTTGTAGGAGCAAAGGCACGGCAGGTCGGCCTGCTTCAACGCCGCGCAACAGGCCTCGCTCGGCTTCTCCTCCGGCTTCACCATCGCGATGCACGGCTTGCACGCCGCCAGCCCCTCCTGGGTCATCTTGCACAGGCTCTGGTCCGCCGCCTTCGTGGTGGATGCCGCCACCATTAGGAGAACCATCGCCATTGCGACCACCACAGCCCTAAGCTTCAACTCCATCGCGCTCTCTCTCTCTCGCTCTCTCCCTCTTTGCTCCTCGGGTTGGATTGCCACCACAAGAGGCAGTACCGGAGATATGTAGTGCTGGTGCAACATGAAACCCGTGACTGAGGTTTGTCCGGATCTGGGGATCACGAGACGGCTTCGGAAGCCACACGATTAATAACGTGCGCTGCTGCATGTTCTTTGTATTGGTGGATGGGGGGTGCTGCCCAGCAGCGAGGATCTGTCTGTAGTATGAGACGCCCGCCTCTACTGCACATGCTAAGGCTGCTACTGCTGCTGCTGAAGGTGAAGAAAGTTGACACACTTCCCATGGCGGATAAACTTCACTTTGTTTGCTCGTGAGTTCGGTGAGAGGCTTCATCAGAACAAAACCAGCAGCTGGTTGTGTTCTCACCAGATTGTACACAGCAACAAAAAGCCAAGACAGTGCATGCATATGCTGATTCCTTTAGGATATGAGGAAGCAGATGAATCTCTAACCTGTGTTCTCGATCTGGATTCATTCAATACAATAAGCCTCAGTCCGTGGAAGCTTACTTGTGCTCGGGCCTGCGACCTCAATGGTCTTTGTATGAAGGGCCCATTTACATTGAGCCTGGGCTAGGCCACACATAATGGGCCGCAGCGATGACCGCGCCATTAACGCCTGTTTGTGGGCCGCCTTTACTTCCACTAGGGTTTGGGCGGCTCCTCCTCTTCCCGTCTCATAGTCAGCAAGCTAGGGTTTTACTAGGGTTTCCGTGGCTCCTCCTCCTCAGCTTCCTCGGATACCTCATAGTTTGTCTACACGACCCGATCGCTCTCTACCGCTTCAAGATGAGCATGAGCTTTCCCAACATCAGAGACCTCCTCGCATCCTTCAGCCCCTCTTTGGACTTCTTCGCCATCTCTTCCGGTGACGGTCGAATTAAGGTTGTCCGATCCCTCAATGTTTTGGCCGATTTAGGTGGTAACAATTTGAAATTTGGTTCGTGTTTACCGTTTTTAGACTTGAATTTTGGCTGCAGATATGGGACACCATAAAGGGTCAGTTGCAGACCGAGTTTTCCGATATTGCACCGTCTGATGCTTCGAGCTTGCTGTCGCAGCGGAAAAGCGGGCACCTTTCTCTCGACTATACTTGCATGAAATGGGTTCAACTAGAAAAAAAGGTTTATTTTCTTCTCGTCATTACCAAAAAGAAAAAAGCCTTAAAGTTATGAATTTATTGATATATTTGGCGTCTTCTGGTGATTCTGCGCGTATTGATGTCTCTTTGATTTCTGCTTTGCAAGAGGAAAAAAAAACCAGGAAATTCTATTTTGGTCTTGGGAACGGGCAATGGTGATGTTCTGGCACTGGATGTTTCTGCTGGTCAGTTGAGGTGGAAAGTCAGCGACTGTCATCCTGGGTGAGGTTTACATCCAAAGTACTATACTAGGTTGACTTGGAATATGCTGGTTTTTTTGTGTAAATTAGTTTGGTTTGTGGAGGGAAAAATATATGTTACTGAACCAAGATTGATGGCATTATATAAATTTACATATTCATCTTCTTCTAAAAATTCCACATTTTTCATAGTTCTAAGTTTTATTACATGATCAGTGTAATATCATTAGATGATCAGATTCTGTGTTGCCTCACTTGTCTTCTCCTATGATAAATTAGTTTGCACCTTGAAATCTATGTTACCTGGTCATTGAACCTTCGTTATAGTCTGTTGCTGGTTTCCCACTCTGTCGTATGATTCTTTATTAACAATGAGAACAAGCATTCCATCTGTTGCATCAATTGATAATCAGCTTTTTCAGGACCTCCACACTGCTGTCTTGTAGGGTTATGCCCATGCATTCTGCATAACACTCATTTATCTTTTTTTTCTCTCTCTCTCTCTCTGTTATTGTAACTTTTCTTCTCAACACTCAATTGAACTAAATTTGCTTTTCACCATGCTTGTGAATATATCTCCTTTTGATCTTGACTAGGTAGAATGAATCCTGTATATACTCTTCGCTCTATCTTGAGAACTCTCCTTGAGAATTCCATAGATTTCCAGATTCCTTTTTGTGGCTCACCTGAAAACAGTCAATTAATTGAGTTAATCCTTTTCTCTGGAGAGAAGTTGTTCTGCTGAAATTTATGACATTCATTATAATTCACAATTTAAATCTGCTGGCAGAAATGGAGGTCCTCTTTTGATGTTCATGGTTTAATATAGTTGAATCTTCTAATGAGATTGGTACTGTGACTTCATTTCACAAATCTTTGAAGAAACATATCTTTTGCATGATACACTGATAAGTGAACTCTAGTTGGATCATTTCTGATCACAGTTTGTATAAGACAAAGTATAGCTTTCAACTAACTCATTTCTAAATTGGCAAAGTGAGTTATATGTTGAACTAGGGATGTTATTATAAGTGTTATTTTCCCAATTATGATTCTTTATTCTGTGACTTTTTCAGATACAGTTCTTTGTATAAAAGGATCTAATTTTCTTTGTTCTTTCCATGTGAATTTTTCTTCTTGCATAAATTCTATGACTTTAGGCTTAATGGCAGAATTTGATAAATGGCAGGGGTGTTACCGCTGTTTCTTATTCCATGCTTCGTCGATATGTATACACAACAGGTGTTGATGGTATGGTTTGCCAGATTGATACATCAACAGGGAGCACACTAGGCAGATTTAGAGCATTTACAAAACCAATATCTTCTGTGTCAGTTTCTGCTGGTAAGGTTTTGTATATTGAAGCTGAATGCTTTTGGTTTGTTTATCCTGGTTTTAGTTATGGCTTTATATTAGTGTGTATGTTCATCATAGATTGGGGAAGGTCGTGTATTGCATCCAAGAATATGATTTTATGTTGTGGCACAGATGTTATTTTATCTTAACTATACCATTAGCATGTTATCACATTCATTTTGCCTCTAGTTGTAGGAACTCTCAATCTAGAATATTGACATTTTGGAAATAATTCGTAGGATATTGACACTTCAGAAAGTGTTCCAGGTTATTGAGACTTAAGAAAGTACTCCTAGTATTTACCTACAAACTGCTTGTAGATGCTTCTCATCTAGTGAAATTTAGCCATTTGGACTCTGCATCAGTTTCTCTGGTGGTAACTAGTGCCTGAAATGTCGGAGACTACATTATTTCATGTTTAAGCTGCATATTGTATGAAGAACGGAATATACTTTACAATGCGCAGAAACCCCACCGTTCATAAATTTCTTGAAAAGGTTCAGTTATAGGCCATCAACCAACCAGCACCTTTTGTAGCTATTGTTGTCTCTTCCCTTGTGTAATTAATTAATCTTTGTCAAGCTAAATTTGTTGATTCTCTATAATTAATTTATTGGAAGCCATATGGACTTGTTTCAAGGCATTAAAAAAAGAAGCTAGATACTGTGAAAATAACTGGTGTTATCATCATTAATTTAACCATCCATTTGATTAGATAGTAGTTCATAATTCTCGAGTATCTAGGTAGGAGCTGCAAATGACATTTCTTTCAATTAAAATATGCACTTCGAAGAGTTAGTTCATTATATGAATTATGGTCGGCATTTTGTCAAAAACTTTTGCACTGGCCTGCCAATAACTGTTATTAAGCTGCAACTGTTTCAAACCAACAAATGTTAATTAAGTTTGTATATTGTCAACATATAGTTCAAAAGTTGATCATGATGCTCAGGGTGTACTTTAAGTGGCTCTCGGAAACCAAGATGTTCTCTTCACATAATTAAATTAGTTTTATATTCTTTTGATATTGAAATTAATGCACATTTGCCATATCTGCATATTCTTATCTCTATCTAAAGTACCATTTTGAGGTAGTATGAAGTTTGAGGTGTTCTATTTTTGGACTACATTCCTCCATTTATCAAATGCAATTTGAAGTGGAAAAATGGAGACAAAGATTATTTTGCCAGAAACTTTCTTTATTGTAAGTGTTATCAAGTTGCATCTACTTTCGAACCAACAAATGGTATCAAGTTGGTGTGTTGGCAACACATAATTTAGAAACTGATCATGATGCCCATGGTTCTTTTGAGATGGCCTTTAAATCCTGTTTTCACATCAATTGGGTTTCTAATTTATTGGAATGAAACCTAAGGTAAATTTGCCATTATATCTGCATAGTTTCATTTCTCTTTTTAAAGTAACATTTAATTCTGAGGTGGTGAACAGCAGTCTTGTGCATAATTTTATTTAGGGAAAGTATATTACATGCTAATTTGGCGAGATTACTACTATGTGTGGATTGATATACTGTAATCTATGACCAGTTAGTGGATTGTTGTTTATGAACACAATTCAAGGATCAATATTCATGTACTTTATGCAGTATGTTAAAGGACATTTCATTCCTGATTCTATGCTTTTGTGGTGTTCAATATTCATGGGTATACGAGGCTTTACAAGAATAAACGTCCTTCATTTATTCTGAAGGCATATTTGAAACAAATGCACCATCATTAAGCTTTATGGACATGACAGATAACCTAGTCTCTATTTCCTTTTAATGAAAAGAAATGATATTTATATAACTGAGCTTATGTTTTCATTTTCAGATGGTAAAATATTGGCCACTGCTGCTGGTCAGTTGAAAACTTTCAATTGCTCAGATAACAAAAAGATACAGAAGTTTCCTGGACATCCGGTATGTTATATTCTTGCAACGTGGATCATCCTTTCTTTTATTCCATGTCCTTTATTTTCTTTCCTTCTTTCATTTCATCCTCATTATATGCCTTGTTTGTCATTTTAATCAACTTGACTAAACACCACAAAGTTGTTTAGGTGGCTGTTCGATGCATGATTTTCAGTGAAGATGGCCAATACATTGTGACATCTGGAGTTGGTGAGAGACATGTTGCCATATGGAAAGTGGGCGGTGGTAAAAAGCAATCTGCCATCTGTATCCTCTCAATGGATCATCCAGCCATTTTTCTTGATTGCAAAAAGTTAGATAATGATGGCAAGGATGGAGAGGGACTATCTGTTTTGGCCATCTCAGAAATGGGTGTCTGTTATTTTTGGTACGGAAGTAGCATTGAGGAATTGGGCAATTGTCAACCTACAAGAATCTCAGTTTTTCTGGAGTCAAAAAAGAAATTTGATGTGGCAATATATTCTGCAAAACTTCTAGATGTACCCAAACCTGCTTCTGGGCAAGTATTTGTTGCTTATGGTTCACTGGTAAAGCCATCATTTCAGAAACTCTTGGTACAGTATGGTGTTGACATAAAATTAGGTGACTTCAAAGGCGGTGTTCTTATACCAATTGACAGTTTTTCGATCTCTCAGAAAGGACAAACTATGGACATGAAAGGTATGCTATACATATTACCTAAAAGGGACTATGTTATTATACGATGAATACTTTTAGCTTAAAAACATGAACAATGTTTGTCGCAAATCAGTAGTATCGTAGTTCCATATTTTAATGCCTGATGAAATGATATTACTTGTTTTTTTTTTTCACTATTGAATTCTTTTTTGTACTATTTTTATATCTTCTAGAGGTGCTAAATTTGTATCTGTAGCAGAAACTGTGACTGCACTTGATCGAGCAAATGCAGAAGATGCTATTCTTCCAGTTCCGAAACTATATGCACAGGATAAGAAAAGAAAGCACAATGTGACAAAATTGATTACAGATATCAAGAATGTGGAGGTCGATCCAATTATCAATAAGAACAAGGCTCGGTCTGCACATAGAAAAGGTAATACTTTTTTATAGTGTTGAGAATGGTAGTGAAATTACATATATTTATTTATTGAAATGCATAGTGAAGACCTGGAAGAATAACCATAATTAAGTCAGTAGGATTGTTGTTGTTATTGCTAATACTCAAAACAGTTTTTTGCCAAATCATCCACTTGTTTTCTGATACTACTTTTAGCTCCACTAGTGTTCCTTGGTTTAATGAACTTAGATCACATCAACTCTTGCGGTTGCAAACTGCTTATGTGGTCTATTTTCTCCATTGTAAAATTTTCCTTGGGATATGTGTCTGTCATTACATCAAAGGACGATCATATAGTTAGGATTCTTTTTTCTGAGCCTCCTCAATATAGTATCCTGATTCCTACCCGGAATTCTTTGATGATCATGGTGATGAACCGATGATAGTTTAGTTTCAGTAAGTTATTATCTCATTTTGGAGGAATGGCTACACAACATCATGGCTTATCTTTAGCAAATTAATTCATGGGAAGGATCAAACATGCAGATGTTGAAAGATTCTTTTATTAAGTGTAGTATACTGTCACGAACGGTCGTCGCGCACCCGCAACAACTCCGTTCAACGAACCGTTCGTCGCTCACACCTACATGTACAGCTGCTTGACAGCATGTTTTCTCTTGGTTTTGGGTCATTTTGCTTGTAAAAATATAAGTTCGAACAAGCTGCAGCGTTGCAAAGCGACCACTCACCGAACCGAGCAAAACAGCCCCAAAACAACCCAAAACAACTCCGTTTTCGCGTGCCGCGGGAGGGTTGCGGTAATCTGCCTCCGCTCACCAAAACGTCAGCCATCTCAGCCCCTTTGAACCCCCCGGGTGGCACAGGGCTGGATGGGGCTTCGGTTATATACCGGGCGTTGAACTCTCTTTCGCAAGTTCGCACGTGGCCTTTACGGGAACTTGTCTTCGCGCCCGGGACCAGGTGAGCGGCTGTTTGTTGGCTTGCAACTGTTCGTTCATCCTTCTAAAGCCTTGTTTTCTTCCTCTCCCTCTTTTCTCTTGTGCACGCAAGGTGCTCGCTGAATTGCTTGTAAAGCTTCCCCTTTTCGCAAGACTTCGGGACTTGTCCGTTGCTCGTTCTTTCGAACTAACCAACTTTCTCTTTTACAGGTCCTTCGGGACCTGCGAGAGGTTACAAGTGGGCTGATTCTTGCGGAGCAATATCGCAAGGGCGAAGCGCGACTTAGGCAACGCAAGCTAAGTTCGCGTCTTTGGCCGCAAGGGTGCCTCACGCTTTAGGCAATTCCAGCTAAGGCCGTGACATTGTGGTATCAGAGCGGGCAAGCACTTCGAGCGAGCAGCGAACGAACTTCGCAACTTCACCATGGCAAAGCATCGTGCCGAATCAAGCAAGACGGGGCAAGCTGGACCCTTGCCCCAAGCAGCCGCAGGTGGGCTGCATGTGCACACTCGCTCTCATGCTGTTGGAGTCGCTCAAGAGGAGCGCGACAGCGAACAGGATGAGCGAGAAGTTGGTTACTCTCCGCGAGCAGAGGAAGCGTAATCTGGAGCGCTAACTGGGAAAAAGAGTCACAAGGAGAGACTCACAACGGCGGAAACCCGCCTGGATGTTCTTGAAGCGAGCATGGAGGAACTCTACCATGGCCAACAGAGGCTTGTTGGGGTAGAGAGCTCGCAAGAGGAAGTGGAGTCCAGGATCGACAAGGTCGAGGCCCTAGTCGACCGACTGTCTGATGACACCAAAGACTCCGTGCAACACTTACAGGATGTTGTGGCGGAACTCACTGCAAAGGTGGCCATGCTCACAAGGACACTAAATGCGGGAGGAAGCAACACCCGCGTTGCACCGCCACAAAATTTGAGGGCACTTGAGCCTCATGGATATGGAGGGGCCAGAGATGCCAAAGAGCTCGAGAACTTTCTGTTTGACATGGAACAATACTTCCGAGCTACGAGGCCCGATTCTGAAGATACCAAAGTTTCTATAGCAATAATGTATCTGAACGGAGATGCGAAACTTTGGTGGCGAACTCGTTGGGAGGAGATCCAACAAGGTCGGTGTCGAGTCGACACATGGGAGGACTTGAAGCGGGAGTTGAGAACTCAGTTCCTACCGGAGAACACAGAGTTCGTCGCAAGAAGGAAGTTGAGACAACTCCGCCAAAGTACCACCATCCGAGACTATGTGAAACAATTTTCTGCACTAATGCTGGACATACAGGACATGTCCGAGAAGGACAAGTTGTTCAGCTTCCTCGATGGTTTGAAACTATGGGCTCAACAGGAGCTAAATCGAAGGAATGTTACCGATGTGGTCGGGGCAATTGCTGCTGCAGAAAGGCTCACCGACTTTGTTTCCTCTGAAGACCCAGCAAGAAGGAAACAATCTTCAGGCAATCGCCCTCCAAAACATTCTCGAGGGAAGGAGCTTGGGGGCGAACAAAAGAAGAAGAGCTCCCACAAAGGGCCGAACCCGAAAGGCAAGGCCTCAAAACCTGGAGGATGCTTCTTGTGCGGAGGACCGCACATGGTAAAGGAGTGCCCACAAAAACAGGCACTCAATGCTTTAACGGCTTCCATCCACCCCCCCCCTCCCGATCGGACAAGGGCAAAGCTGTTGCTCTTAGTTCGAGCAATGCTGAATCCAGCAGCGACGACGAGGAGTCGCAAGGACCCCGAATGGGAGCAATGCGTTTGTCGAACGCTATGCGGGGTCAAGTGGGGGAGAACATGAAGACAAAGGTACAAAAAGCAGGGAGTAGTGAGCTGATGTATGTGGACATCAAGCTAAATGGCCAAACGACCCGTGCAATGGTGGACACGGGCGCTACCCACAACTTCATAGCCGATCATGAAGCACAGCGACTTGGGTTGACCTTGGAGAAGAGCCCAAGCCGAATGAAGGCGGTGAACTCGGAGGCCAGGCGAATCTCCGGGTTGGCGAAGGGAGTTCCCATCAAAATCGGGACTTGGAGCGACGACGAGGAGTCGCAAGGACCCCGAATGGGAGCAATGCGTTTGTTGAACGCTATGCGGGGTCAAGTGGGGGAGAACATGAAGACAAAGGTACAAAAAGCAGGGAGTAGTGAGCTGATGTATGTGGACATCAAGCTAAATGGCCAAACGACCCGTGCAATGGTGGACACGGGCGCTACCCACAACTTCATAGCCGATCATGAAGCACAGCGACTTGGGTTAACCTTGGAGAAGAGCCCAAGCCGAATGAAGGCGGTGAACTCGGAGGCCAGGCGAATCTCCGGGTTGGCGAAGGGAGTTCCCATCAAAATCGGGACTTGGAGCGGAAATACCAACATGATGGCCGTGCCACTGGACGACTTCCAAGTGATTCTTGGAATGGAGTTTATGCACGCGGCGAAGTTGGTGCCGATGCCGTTCTTGAACTCCCTATGTATGATGGGAGGCGATGACCCCTGCATGGTTCCCGTCTCTCGGAGAGGAACTAAGGAGCCCCAACACATTTCGGCATTACAACTGAAGAAAGGGGTGCGAATAGGCGAATTGACATTTGTGGTTGCTATGAAGCTAGAGCCACTCAATGAGGAGGCCATTCAAGAACCTGCTGTGGTGGCGAACGTCCTAAAAGAGTTCAAAGACATTATGCCACCCGAGTTGCCGAAGACTCTTCCACCATGCAGAGGCGTGGATCACAGCATCGAGCTGGAGCCAGGAAGTGAAGCCTCCAGCGAGACCACCCTACCGCATGCCCCCGCCAGAGTTGGCAGAACTCAGGAAGCAGTTAGGTGAACTGCTAAGCGGTGGTCTCATCCGCAGCTCTAAAGCA